TGAGTGGTGTTTGAAATGATTCAAAGGTGAAAGTGAAGTGATGATGCAAAGCATGGGGGTAAAATGGAGTGGTGTTGCAGCTAGGGAACATGAATGATTGTGCACATGATAGAGAAAGGAAAGGGAGGTGGAATGATGCAACAAATGAGTCAATGGAGGGAACATGGATGATGATGCACGGCATAGGAATCCAAAGGGAGTGCAATGGTGGTGCACGACAATGATGGAAAGGTGAATGGTGGAGTGACACCCCTTTGTGGCTGAGCTCTTTGTCATTTTTACATTAATTCTTCTTTCTCTTTAACACATTCCTAGCCTCTTTAGTCTTCAATTTCGTCCATCCACCTTGCTCTATGCATGTGCTATTCATTCCAAGCCCAAAACTGCTCTAAAATGCACCAAAATGCATTTTATTGCTTCATAAGGCCTATGGACTTACAAACACACAAAAATAGCTTAAAATACATAATTAACTAAGAAATAACAACATAAATGCATGAGAACAAGCTAACTCAGTCGCATAATTATGCTCCTATCACTTGTCCACCAATGCAATCAAGTGCCGAAATTCTAGGTTTTGAATGATTCAGTCTATCGAAGATTGACGTTCGAGGGGTGGGTTTTGGCTCTTTTTGATCTTGTTTAATGCTCGCGCTAATGTGCTGAGAGCTAGTGTTTTTCGCATTGCTTGAAATCTTAACAGGTGTATTTGGTGTGAAGCCAAGTCAAGCTTTATTGTTGTCAACTCCGTAACCATGCTCCTTCAACTTCTTTTGAGTTTCGGTGAGGTCATGTTCTTTGTTGTTGACGGTGTTTGCATTCTTCTTTCCAAGATTTGAAGTGGAGGCAAAATCTTACCCAACCTTAGACATGAGTTTGTAGGTGTTTGGGTCGAAACCTTCTTCGGTCCTCTTCGTTAAAAGAGAGCATGGTTCTGCCCCCTTTGGTAAGGGTTTTACGAAACCTTGAGGTGGTTTTGAAACTTTAGCATTGCCTAGCTGTGTCAGAGGTAAAATTGCATTTGTCTTAAGTAGTTTTACATCATCCTTGTGCAACTGTGTGTCGGCTTTGCTTGTTTCAGTTTCAAATGAGGATTGCCCATTCTTTATTCTCGACATTGAGATGTATCCGAAGACGAGTGTGTTTGGTCCTTTTGAGGGCGTCACACTTCCTTTGGATATTGTGGGCTTACCAGGCTCATCGTCGTTTTTGCTTGAGGATGGCACGACTTCCCCTTCTTGCTTCTTGGGCATAGCTTGCCACTTCTGCTTTTTGGGTGCAGCTTTGCCTATAGATTTTATCTCTTTTGGAAGAGCTTCGGGCACCATGTCTTCATCCATGTAGAACTTGGCATCCACGAAGTGTGATTCGGTTTTAATGAATGGTTTAGTGTCGCCTTGTATCACATTTACTCCTTCTCGATAAAACTTCAAGCATTGATGAAGAATGGACGACAATACCCCATTCTCGTGGATTCAAGGCCTTTCTAAGAGCAAGTTGTAGGAAGTTCTTACATCAATCATGTGGAATAAAGTGTTTGACTTAAGTTCGCCAATGGTTATCTCCACTCGGATCATGCCCATCGCTCTTTGTCCTCTTTGGTTAAAACCTTGGATTAGGAGGCGGCTTCGGGATAGTTCATCCACCTTGATGCTGATAGTGGTCATTGTTCACTTTGGCATCACGTTTATGGTCGACCTACCATCCACAAGCAAGCGGTTCATTTTGTTATCTCTCACGTACCTAGAGACGAAGAGATGATGGTTGTGAGGCTTGGACCTTAGCAGCAAGTCTTTGTCAGCGAAGTTGATTGTGTCATGGGTGGCACAACATGTGGTATATTCATGTGGCCGAATTTTCAAGCCTTCATCCTTGCTTTCTTGTACCTCGTGGTCATCAGCACTCGCCAAGACCTCTACTAGTGCTTTTAGCATCTCTTTGGGCAATCGTAGTGCTTCCTCGATGCTAAAGTGTGATGGCAGGCTTTCTTTAGGTGTGAGGGTCTTCTCTTCCTCGATGGCGAAAACTTTGCCTTTTAAGGGCTCTTTTATCTTTACTTCAACCATGTGACAGGCAACGGTAGTGCACTATTGGAAGAAATCTTTTGGGAAGTACTCGTGCAAGGAGACAGGAATACGTGGCTCTTGCTTTATAGGTTCCCCTACGTATGTTAGCTTAGCAGCTCTTACGTTTTCTTTGGGCTTCCTATTGTTGCGGTGGCGGTGCTTTCGCCTTTGTTCCACCTTTGGCGGTGTGGCTTGTGGTCTTGGCTTCCTTGTCTTTTTGTAGGTCACTAGTGTCCGCCTTTCTTCATCGTCGGTAGGTGCATTTTGGTCGTTTGCCCCCAGCAATGGTTGTGTAAAAGGTGCTGTGTAGCTTGAGCATGGATGGAAATGGTCATGCGTCACTTAGAGAGGCATGGGATCAAAGGATCCAAACGCAATTGTAGTAATGTGAGTGGAGGCTATGTCTTAAAGGTCAAGCTCAATTTACCCTTGTTGTGCTAGCTTCATGATGAGCTCCTTAAGGACGAAGCATTTGCCATCAGGGTGACTCACGATACGATGGTACTTGCAGTACCAAGGATCTTTAACGCTATTCATCTCTTCGGGGTGCTTGCATTCCGGTAACTCGATCACCTTCTTTTCCAGCAAGTCGTCTAGCATTGCAGCCACGTCAGAGTCTGGAAAAGGGTACGTCTTTTACTCCAGTTCCCTCTAGGTGTTTTACCTTTTAGCGAGCACACGAACTACTTAATGAGGTAGTCTCCCACCGTCCCAACATTGTTGCAAGTTTCAAAGAAATAGGCAATATGTTATTTAGGATTGCCCTTTCCATTGAATGGCATGAATTTGGGTGGCTAATAACCTCTTAGCATCCTTAAGGTGTTAATCCTTTTAGAGTATGACTTTGAGTACAACATAGAATCATACGACCTTCCTTCGTATTACGCCTTGATGATGCTTGTGATAATCTCTTGCAGTTGTTGGATAGAGAGAGATCCCATGAGCATCGTAGCTCGATCCATCTCTAACTTCTCTGCAACTTTTTCCATCAGAGGCTCCTCATTTTCGTTAATTTCCTCTTCAGGTGGATCAACCTTCGGGTCAGCTTTCTCGTCGTGCTACGCCTCCTGATGGTTGACGAGTGTAGCAATCTGCAAGTTCTTTTCCTCCATGATCCTTGTGAGCCTTACGATTGCTTCACTCATTTAGGCCAGTTGTTCCTCGCTAGACGCCTCACCAATAGTCATAACTTGCATGGCTATAGGATATGAGCTGCTGCTTGAGTCGGCATCAGAAGTCAACGACTCAGAGTACCTCATCGGGCTTTCTTCCCTTGGCACTCTTAGCGAGGCTAGGGTGATCACGGGCACCTGCCTCAGGTGCTCTTGCTCATTCGGTAGAGTTAATGTAAGGGTAGAAGGCATGGCAAATAGAGCTCTTGCCTTGCTTCGGGTTGTGATGCCCAAAGTGCCACCACTTGTGGCAAGGATGTTCTTGTTCTTCACGTTGATTACGGGAACAACTTGATCCTTTCTTGATGCCATGTGTGTTTCTTGTGGATTTGAAGATAGGGATGAGAGGTAAAGAGGTCCCACCGGGTGTGCCAAATTTGTCAACACGAAAATTCTATATAAAATGAAACGAGAACACGTGTACAAAGTAGATTTGTATTGATTTAAATTTGTAGGTTACAATCTCTGTTACAATTTTCCTCTAATTTAGTCTTCAAATTTGATGTCGATGTGTAAGTTGTTAATCTAAGGGTCACGATGACTTGATCTTGAACGAACGATTGAATGATTGCTTCAAGTTTTGAGCTTGAAATGATGCTTGGATGGTCTTCACCTCAAAGTTGTGGCAAAGGTCTGTAAGATTTCGTTGATTCAAGGGTCTTGAGGACTTGATCTTGAATTGAACGTCATTACAAGTTTTAAGCTTGCAACAAAATCTTGAAGGAATCGACACAATTGCTTGTTGATTCTTCAAGGGAATGCTTCGGCTTTGGTCGAAAGAAAGTTTCAGCTTTGGTTGTACGTTCTTTGAAGGGAGCTTTGGCAGCGTATTAGTCTTCAAAGATTTGGCAGAGGTTCTCCTTTTGTGAGAATATGTCAACCTTGAATGTAGAAAATTGTCGACCTTATATTTATAGACTTCTGAAAGCTTGCATTTGGATAGATTTGGCTTTTATTTGTGTCTTGATTCGTCCATGGGAGAATTTAGGCATGTTTTGTGTCTTAATTTTAGCCAATTCCCCTTGCTTGGCTGAAATCTATAAGGCTTTCATGCCTATTTTGCGAGAAATCTTCAATTATTGCTTGCTTTGTGAAGATGCTTTAGCTTTGTTTCCGATTTTGGGAGAAATTTGGGCCCCTTGCTGATTTTAAGGAGATTCATTCCCCTTTCTACATTTTAGGAATGCTTTTGAACTTCATTTGCTTGATTTGTGCCATATGTCATTGATGGCTTGTCCATTTGTAACGAGTCATATGCCACGTGGAGCTTTGTGATGCATAATTTGTATGCAACAAAATTGACATGTCTACAATAACACAACCTATCCATTTATTCTCATTTCTTCCCAGTCTTGAGCACCCGTTCATCTACACCTTCACCCTGACTTCAACGACCAAGTACTTGGTGGTTGCTAGCAAGGGCGACTACCACCTCTCCTTCATCTCCCTCCCTCAGCCATTCTCTCACCCTTTGATTCTTGTTTAGTAACTCTCTTATCCCTCTGACATAACAAGATCAAATTGGGGAAAGAAAAGTTCGATTTTTTCTCAAGTTTTTTTAGTTGACAACAAGGTACTTTGTTTCTCTATATTTCTTTAATTGTTTTTGGATTTTTTTCTTTAATTGTTCCCTAAATTCTGATTTTCTTTCACTAAAGATCCTTCGTATCGTTCTTAATTTCTGAATAGATTTGAATTGCTTTTATGTCTTTGCTGTGGTATATACCCTCTGCTTCTGATATTATTCTCTACTGAAACCCGGTGGAAAACCACTGTTCATTAACAGTGTCCACCCGATTTTGCCCCTCATTCTCTTCATGGTTTTTTAGTTTTAGTGGGGTTGTATGGTGAATTGGCCGTTTTGCCCCTCTCTCTTTTTCTTCCGTGCGTGCGTTCTCAGTTCCACACACTTCCAAATCCCTAAATTCGCAGGCTTTCCCCCTTCTTTCTCCAACACGGTTTCTGCTATTGCCCCTGCGTCTTCTACGACTCCGATCTGCATATTTGTTTTGCGTGGTAAGAATTTTGTTCTCGATTTGAAACTGGTTGTTTGATTTCTGTTTGTTTACCAAGAAATCTCTCTCTTGCGTTTTTCTCCTGAGGTTTATGCTCAGATCACTTTGCATCCAGAAGCAGATGTGAGAAACATGTTTTCTTTTTTGTCTTATTTAATGTTTTGTTCCAACTTCCTCTGTTTGGTTGCTTAGAAGATGGAGAAAAGAATATAAAGTCACTAATGTTAAAGTCTTTTCAAATCAGTTGGGATATTATCTAAAATACGAATAGGGGAAATTTCACATTTTCTCAACTCTTTGGACAATTTTCGTAGTTAATGAGGCTTAGATTTTGATATAATATTTGTCGAAAACGATAACCGAATGAAAAAGATGTGAAGATTTGAAGTTAGGGAAGCCAAACGGAGAAGAGAAAAAAAATCAAGAACAGCAGCAAAGCTGCTGGTTCAGTTTTATTTGTGATGTATCTCGAATGTTGTTTGTTATTCCTTTATTTTGTTGGTATTCTTTAAAGCTACAGTGTTTGTTAACAACTGTTTCCATTTCTACATTCGCTAAACCCTCTCTGGAAATTAATTAAAATGATTTCTGCTACGTGCAATATATGTTACAATTGAATTATTGAGGAATGTGGGGACTGCACTGAGCAAGTGCTTGGACAAATTTTTTTAATTGAATTGTAAATTTTGTTTCAGTATTAGACTTTGTATGAATATGAATTTAAATAATCATTTTTCAGTTTTTAAATAAATGAGTCTCAGTAATTTGTGTTAGTTTTATCCGAACAACACGTGCACTTACCTGTCTATGTTGGTTAACTAAATTGATGCATATCTTGCCAGTTAGCATTATGTATTTGAAGGAGTTTTTAAAAATAAATCCCTTACTAAACACGTTTAAACAATTGGTCTTTGGTTCTATATGTTTGATAAAAATTGGGTGGAAGGAGTAACCAGTTTGATTGTAGTGTGTTATCACCATTTTGTTAGATGCTTAAATGAATTGGGTTAGAACTTACCATGTGGTTTTTTATCGATAGCAGCATTTGGACACAAAGATGTGTGAAATGCTAAGCTATTTACATGGAAAAAAAAAACATTGGGGAAATCATGCTGTGTTAAGCTATTTACACAACAAAAAATATTGGAGAACATTGTTTATTTAGATTGATAAGGGTGGTAGAAGTTGTTCAGCAGAATAGCAAAAGCTTTCTTCCAGTTGTATTTGTTGTCAAGAAGGCAGCCTAAGCAACAAAAAAAGAAAAGAAAATATTGTAACACGTATTAAGCTGTTGAGAAGAATTAAGGACCAGAGTTTACTATTTTTTTTTCGAATTTTATTCATTTGAGGTTTGATTTTAGGATTATGTGTTTTCTGTTTAGTGTGATTCAATACGGGTTTTTTGGTCAAATGGGACATGGAATTTCAAATGCTGTTTGTTATTTCTTTATTTTTTTAGTATTCTTTTGAAGATCTGCGTATCGATTGTTGCTTCTGTTTCTTATATAAACACAATGTGTTTTGCGATCACAACTTTTGTGATCAGAAACGTTTCCAGTTAATTGTACAATGGCTTTGATGTCAGCTAAACTGAATGTAAATGAAAACCAAGTTGCTGATCTTACCAGCCCAGTTCACCCATCTCTTTGCTTATTTAAATTATTTGAAGATGCCCATTCGTGTGGCAATTTGGTGAGAGTCAATTTGTGAGTTAGAGAGCAATTTAGGAGAATCTTCTCTGTTTGTTTGAGTTCTCCACTCGTTTGGTTTAGGGTTTGTAATTTGTGAGATTTGGGTTGTGAGCGTTTAAACACTCTTTTGTAATCTCCGTTTGTTTAGTGAAATTCCTCGCCGTGCTTCGCCCGTGGAGTAGGCTTTACGCCGAACCACGTAAATCTCTTGTGTCAGTTTGAGATTGTTTGTTTTAGCTTTCACCTACGACGTTGATATTTGATAGTTTGTTATAATTCGCTTCCGTTTGCGCATAAAAGTACAACAATTGCAGATCCGCTACATTCTTCAAGAAGTTCGGTTTACAGAACCAGAGCCGTTTAAGCAAAGGTGTCCCAGTTTATAGATGAGGTATTTTAATTCGAACAGTAACATTGTGTGTTCAAAAGGATCCCCTCTAATTTTCAGAGATTAATATTATTCAGTATGCTCATCCAATCACTACTCCATTGGGCAATATGCAAAACAAATTATGAAAAGCAAACTAACCAAACAGGCAAAGAATAAAAATAAAATTCTAAAATGTTCTCAAATTTGATTTTAAAGCCAGCGTCTCCTCCATATGCAGCTAACCCATTTAGGAAAAACAATAAAGAAGGCCATTGGGACTCAAAAGTTGTTTTCAGTTTAGCATGATTATCACTTATATAAACATACAAGGAAAGCAAATCTCAAAGAGTCAGGTTTTTGCTCCAATGTTAACAATGTTTGTTTCATTTGTAGTTTTTTGTAGTCTTTATAAGCATTTTTTAGTTTTGATGGAAAAATAATATTTTTTACTCTCTCCTCTCTCTCTTTCTCTTTCATGTTTTTGTGGACTTTGGGTTTTGAGTGTTTTGAATTTTTCTTCTGACAAAGTATTGGTTTTGCAGTAAAAGCGGCAATCCTCTTCCCAGCTTCACTTCCATGTTCTCACTATTCATACCCATCTTGCCCATTTCTTTCTGAATTTCTCCTTGCACCCACTGGAAAAAAACAGAGTTTTATTTCCTCAAAATATAGATTAGACAACAATATTCTGAATGCTTTGCTTATCTATGTTCTTTGCAGGAAGCTCAAAGGATGATAAACAAGAAACGGAAATCACAAATTGCAAATTAGATGGACAAAAAAGGCAATAGAAATTCATAGGGTCCCAAATCCGTGACATAAAAGGTATGAAATTGTTAATTGATAATTGAACATAAATGTAGAACTGATTGCTACAAATAAGTATGGTTACTTTTGTATCACATTCTTAATTAAGATGGTTGTGCAGTCTTTTTGGTGCGATGGCAAGTGCCTTCGCCCATGAGCGGTAGGTCTCGGGTTCGAGACTTGGGAGCAGCCTCTCCATAAATGGGGGTAAGGCTAGCCGACATTGACTTCTCCCAGACCCTGCGTAAAGCGGGAGCCTTATGCACTGGGTACGACCTTTATTAGCTCTCTAATGACTTACAAGTTACACACACCTCAAAATTTTCATTTTCTTTCAAACAATCTTGATCCGCAATATCTGCAGGATTGCAATGAAATAATTGTGAGCAACATGTATAATGGGAAGGATTTACAGAGGTTTCAACTATTGAACTTGCTTATGCTCTTATTTGAGCGACTGTAAAAAAGATTTAGTAGGACAAACTGGAATTGGCTTAAATCAATTTATCATTGATAATTTGATTCTGTTATTCGTAGACCATTCTTCCGAATCTCTGAGTTCGAAGCAGATCAATTTTTTCATTTTTATGTTTAATTTTAGGAAGAAATGAAAATGAGTTTTGCCTTTTTTGAGTGTGTTGTTAGTACTAGCTTGCTGCATATGCTATTCTCTGGGTGTAAATATAATTATCTAAGTAAGCGCACTTATTTTTGAACTCTTTAACTGATTTGTGGTTGCAATAGGATTTTTTTCGGATTTTTCCCAGTCTTTTTAACAGTATTAGGTTTATGTCCTGCATGTCACCAAGCTTATTCTTTTTTCAATTCACATTAATCACGGTTGGTTCAATTTCATTTTGGCTGCTGTAAATGGGTTTTCATCAGCATGTCTGACATGATAAAATCATGTCTTTTGGATTAATTCAAACAATGTAAACATTTCATTTGTATTCTTGATCTTTGTTAATATTATAGTTACATGTCTAACGAAAAAGGATTTCTTTTAATGAATAATATGTGTCATTACCTAAAATGAGTTACCTTTGCGCAGAGTTTGCTGTTTAACATGTTATGTTCCTAGATAACATGCATCTAAAACTCTTTGTGCAGAAGAAGGTATCTCATTACAACCACCTCAGTCTAACAAAACTTTTAGCACTCTTAAAACATGATCTGAATTCTCAGCTCAAGTAAGTCCTCAGTTTCCATATACTTTTTATTTCTTAACATCTACGTGGTTTTCTTAGTTTTTAACCATTAAATCACGTAACTTTATATTTACAATTATATTCTCTCTAATTGTTTGTATAGATTTCTTTTTTGCTCCCTACAAGATAATGTCATGGCGTGGTTTAGTGGTGTTGAATATAATTGAAGAAACTGATTCTTTAATCTACTCATGCTGTAGGATTTCAAAGTTGAAGCCCATTTACTTTCAATTTTTTCGAACGAATTCACTTTGTAAAGTAACAAAACAATGATATTCCTAAAGGAAATAAAATTGTTTGCTTTGCTGAGGTGTTTCTGTTTAGATTAATCAATGCCATAGTGCATTTTGAAACCTAAGTTATGGATCTATTAGTTTCAATTTAAACACATCTAGAAGCTTAGATATACATTTATTAGCTCACATTAATATACTTTGGTAGTTTTTCAAACATAATTACCCATACAATTTCTAATCCCGCAGCAACGCACGGGCTTCACTTTCTAGTGCTTATCTAAAACTGCTTTTGCTGCACAAGAATAGGTTCACATGGTGTTTCGGCGTTTCTTTGTATAAAGGCCCAGATGCCCATAAAGCCATATGGTTGAAAATAGCTTTTTCATCATGTCGGAGTATTTATCTTATTTTTCACCGACCAAAGAAATCGTAGCACGATTTTACTTTCTTTGTTAAGTTATCACGCAGATACGCATATTTTTAATTATTTAGCTATTTATACAAACAAAACTGAAACCATATGTTACAAATTGTCTAATATACACTAGCCTCATAGTTTCCAATTTTCTTGCCCCCAAGCGAATTTCTTTATGAGGTTTTTATTTTTATTTTCTTTTAATTTTTCAATTGATAACTCCGCCGTGTAAGTTTATCTTACATTGCCGGTCCCAAGCCCGGATAAAGGAGGAGGGGGAGGGCGTCAGGTAGTCGACAGCCGGCACTCCATGATCACGTCGAATCCTTATGAAAATGAATCCAGAACGAAATCGCGCTAAAGCTAGGGCATCACCCGTAAGTGGCGCGCTGTGTGGCCCGAGCACAGTGATAAGTGAGCAAGGGTCGCTGTATCTCCATCGGCACCCGGATGCAGTGTTAAATGAGCAAGGAGGCTATAGAAACTTCTTTTCGAACGATTCCACTCAAAGTTGTTTGGGAGCATATGCTCCTATCAACTTTACACGGGACACACAAAAGAAGTACTTTGATCCTATTAGACGGGGAGGGTGAAGAAGCTAGGACAGAAGGGTAGAGTTCAAGAGAGCAAAATGCGTTTAGGAACGTGGAATATAGGAACCTTGAACGGGAAAATCTATGGAAGTAGTAGAAGTTATGGTGAGGAGAAGGATAAATATTATGTGCCTACAAGAAACTAAGTGGGTTGGGCGTAAGGCAAAGGATCTAGAAAACTCAGGGTTTTTAAACTATGGTATTCGGGCACAAATAGAACGAGAAACGGTGTTGGCATCATCGTGGACAAGACCTTGACACAAGATGTTGTAGATGTCAAAGAGGGTAGGAGATAGAATCATGGCAATCAAGATTGTAATAGGACAAGAACTTATCAATGTGATTAGTGCGTACGCACCTCAAGTAGGGTTGGATACGAGTTCGAAAGGAGAAATTTTGGGAAGACCTTGGAGACTTGGTGCAAGGAATTGCTCAGACGGAGAAGTTATTTATAGGAGGAGATTTAAATGGACACGTGGGCAGGGAGACAGGCAACTATGGAGGTTTTTTCATGGTGGCCATGGTTTTGGGGAGAGAAACGAGGATGGGGAAGCTATCTTGGATTTTGCAAATGGCATATGATCTCTTCTTAGCCAACACCTTCTTTAAGAAGAGAGAAGAACATGTGATCACCTACAAGAGGTGGGTCGTCAAAAACACAAATAGATTTTCTTCTAATGAGGAAAAGGGATCGTATAACTTGTAAGGATTGCAAAGTTTATACAGGAGAGAGCGTGGCTAATCAACATCGCTTGTTGGTGATGGATGTACATATCAAAAGAGTGAGAAAAAAGAACAAGACTTGGAAGTGCCCAAGGACTAGATGGTGGAATCTAAAAGAAGAAAAACAAGCCATTTTCAAAGAGAAAGTAATCACCCAGTGTGTGTGGGATAGAGAGGGGAAGCTAAGCCAAATGTGGGATTCCATGGCTAGTTGTATCCGAAAAGTAGCAAAAGAGGTATTAGGAGAGTCCAAGGGCTTTGCCCCACACCAAAAGGAATCTTGGTGGTGGAATGAGGAGGTACAAACAAAGGTGAAGGCTAAGAAGGAATGTTGTAAAGCCTTATACAAGGATAGGACCGATGAAAATGGTGAAAGGTATAGAAAAGCGAAGCAAGAGGCGAAGAAAGCTGTGAGAGAAGCTAAGTTAGCGGCTTATGACGATATGTATAAACGACTAGATACCAAAGAAGGAGAGTTGGATATCTATAAACTAGCTAGAGCAAGGGAAAAGAAGACAAGGGACCTAAACCAAGTGAGGTGCATCAAGGATGAGGATGGAAAGGTTCTTGCTACAGAGAAACGCGGTTAAAGACAGATGGAAAGGTTATTTTCATAATCTTTTCAATGAAGGACATGAAAGGAGTGCTTCTTTAGGGGAGTTGAGTAACTCAGAAGAGTGTAGAAACTACTCTTTTTATCGTCGAATCCGGAAGGAAGAAGTGGTTGTAGCTTTGAAGAAGATGAAGCATAGAAAAGCAGTAGGCCCAGACGATATACCAATCGAAGTGTGGAAAGTTTTGGGAGAGACAGGTATAACATGGCTCACTGACCTTTTCAATAGGATTTTGAAAACGAAGAAGATGCCAAATGAGTGGCGAACGAGCACTTTGGTGCCTATCTACAAGAATAAGGGCGACGTACAAAATTGCATGAACTATAGGGGTATTAAGCTAATGAGTCATACAATGAAGCTCTGGGAGAGAGTCATTGAGCATAGATTGAGGCAAGAGACACGGGTTTCGGACAACCAATTCGGGTTCATGCCAGGGCGCTCAACCATGGAGGCAATCTATCTCTTACGAAGATTGATGGAAAGATATAGAGATGGGAAAAAGGATTTACACATGGTCTTTATAGATTTGGAAAAAGCGTATGATAGGGTCCCAAGAGACATTCTTTGGAGGATTTTAGAGAAGAAAGGAGTACGAGTAGCATATATCCAAGCTATAACAGGATATGTATGAAGGAGCAAAGACTGCCGTAAGAACTCATGAAGGACAAACCGAAAGCTTTCCCATAACTGTAGGATTACATCAAGGCTCATCCTTAAGTCCTTACCTTTTTGCGTTGGTAATGGATGAGTTAACAGGACATATTCAAGATGATATTCCTTGGTGTATGCTTTTCGCAGACGATATAGTGTTGATAGATGAAACTCAGGAAGGGGTAAATGCAAAGCTTAACCTTTGGAGAGAAGTGTTGGAATCTAAAGGTCTTCGCCTAAGCCGATCAAAGACAGAATATATGGAGTGCAAGTTCAGTGCAAATGGAGGCCAAAACGAGTTAGGGGTGAGGATCGGAGATCAAGAAATACCAAAGAGCGACCGTTTTCGTTACCTAGGATCTATCTTGCAAAAGAACGGAGAATTAGATGGAGATCTCAACCATAGAATACAAGCTGGATGGATGAAGTGGAAGAGTGCATCCGGCGTGTTGTGTGACCGCCGTATGCCACTGAAGCTCAAGGGAAAATTTTATAGGACGGCAATAAGGCCGGCGATGCTGTATGGCACAGAATGTTGGGCGGTGAAGCATCAACACGTACACAAAATGGGTGTAGCGGAGATGAGGATGCTTCGTTGGATGTGTGGGCACACGAGAAAGGATAAGATTAGGAATGAGGATATCCGGGGTAAAGTAGGAGTAGCCGAAATTGAAGGAAAGATGAGAGAAAATCGGTTACGGTGGTTTGGACATGTGCAAAGAAGGCCTACTGACGCTCCGATTAGAAGATGCGACTATGGGACAGAGGTTCAGGGCCGAAGGGGTAGAGGAAGACCTAGGAAAACTTTGGAAGAGACTCTAAGAAAAGACTTAGAGTACTTGGATCTAACGGAGGACATGACACAGGACAGAGCACAATGGCGTTCTAAGATTCATATAGCCGATCCCACTCAGTGACTTGGATTTTTCAAGTCTCCAACCGAGAAGTTTTCCTCACTCGGGAAATTAAGGGAACACTACCTCAACCTACATGCTCCACTCACAAAGCTTCAACATACAAGCTTCAACAAAAGAAAATTCAAAGAACTTAGCGAAGAAGGCTTTGGTGTATTTAACACAATACGTTGAAATGAAGGAAAGCTTATTTATTGATATCCCCGATAAGTTACAAATATGTACATATACATGAGTCAAAATAAACAAACAAGAGGGAGCCTTCACAAAGGTTGCTTAGGAGAAGTCTCAGCAGTCGGTAGAGCCCCAGAAAGAGAAGGCACCGGAGGGGGATCATTCGGAGCCTCAGTACTGGACAGAACCCTAGAAGGAGGAGGCATCAGAGGTTGATCATTTGGAGCTTCATTACGCGGTACAGCCCCAGAAGACGAAGGCAATAAATGCCTTTGGAACAAACCCACAAATCTCTGATGATCAAGTAAAACCTGACCATCAGATTCCTTCATCTGGTCAAGCTTCCTCTTCATGTTTGTAGCATAGTCATGTGCGAGCCGGTGCAACTGTTTATTCTCATGCTTGAGCCCTCTAATCTCCTGTTTGAGACTCATCACTTCAGCCGCCAATGATTCAACTTGGCGGGTTCGAGCAAATAGGCGTTGGGCCATATTAGACACAGAACCTGCACACTGAACACTGAGAGCCAGAGAATCCTTAACAGCCAACTCATCAGACCGTTTGGAAAGTAGTCTGTTATCTTTGGGAGTGAGAAGGTTCCTGGCCACCACCGCAGCGGTCATATCATTCTTCATCACGGAATCCCCAACGGTAAGAGGACC